AACGACCCCCCTCCTCCGGATGTCCTCTCACCTGGGCGGGGATGCCACGGCGCACGCCGACCCATATTTGTCTCCGCCGTCGCGTATCATAATGCTGAACATTTTGTAATTTAGCGGTAACATTTTGGCGGCACGTGCAATGTACTCGCTCGTACAATTTAGGCACGAGCGTTGTAAGAGATTGCACGAGGCAGTAAGCCACGTAAGCCGGGGCCAACGTTGCTGCAACTGCAATAGCAAATAAACAGCAGCTGCAACGCTCAACAACGCGACCGCGTAACAGCGGATAAGCACTGCCGCACAGCAGGTTTCCGCAGCAAGCATATAAGGACAACATATAAGGAATTTCCCGAGCGAAAAAAAGGGACAACGCGCAGATGAACATGATATACACACGCACATGCAGTTCTCGAAGATTTGGCTATTTTGTGGGAATGGAGTGGTGGCTTTTATATATGTACATCCCCCTCTCCCTCCCCTCTCATGCGTTCACTCTTTCCATCAACCTCTCCGCTATGAGGCTCGGCTCGTCCACTGTAAGCTACAGCAGCTGCTGCAGCACTACAGCAGCAGCTACAGCAGCATTAGCAAGACGTGTCGCCAGCAACGACGAAGAAACGCAGGCTGGTCGCACTGAATCCATGCACCAGTCATATAACATGCATGTCAGCCAGCAGCCGAGCGAATGCTTGGGAGCGTCTACCCACCCACCCTGGTATGTGAACGGTAAAGTCCTCCCGCAGCTCCACCAGCCAGCCAAAAAAGCTCACCCGACACCCAACTCCCAAGCTGCCACCTCCTCCACATTCCCTCCCTCGCACCCGGCCAGGCCGCTAGCCAGTCCCAAGGGGGTTGAGGATCGCTTAAACGGCCACGGAAAGCACAGAGGCACACTGCGCAGGAGGGTTGCAGGAATCGCACGTGTAGACGAAAAATATGTGTGCACATAAATGTGCGCCGATGAATATCGCACGGGCAGTAGGCAAGCAACCAAGATATGGCTATTGTGTGGGTGGGTAGGTTGGGGGCTCACCAAACGCCGCCGGATGACAGTACAGTTCGCGATCCATGCGGATTCGCATCCTTATCCGTATCCATGTTCGTATTCCCAAACCGTATTCGTATTCGTATCGATGTTTGCGATAGCCGTAACCGGGCATCTTCTGAATGCGCGCGCACACACACACACTCATATACGTGCGTACGGGTGCCCGTATCTACGGTAAGGGGGAGGTGCGGATGTGCTCATAATGACAGATGTACACCACCCGCACACACACACACACACGCACACAGATGTACGGCAAGGGGACCTCGTCCCGCTTGCGTCAGCAGTTTCAACTTATGCCCCACATCAGAATCGCCTGAAGCCCACACATACGCCATTCATCCATTGCTTGCTTTCCAAGGGTCAATGGGAAGAGGGGAATTTTACCATCAGCGGCATCGGTCGGATTTAGCCATCGGTGTCGGTCGGAAACCTGGCCATCGGAGTCCTCTCTCCCTTTCTTTCCTCTCTCCGTGAGGAGGCCAACAAACGGCCCGACCGCCTGTCAGGTGCAACGTTTGCGGTTGCGGCTGTGGCTGCGGCTGCATTTGCAAGGATGTTGTCGCGAGCTCACGCGCGCTGCTGCTTCCCAAGTACAAACCCCACCTCACCCTCCACCTGGTCCGGCTGCCCAAAGCCCTGCAGCAGCATCCTGCGATGGCCCCCCCCCTGCGTGTGAGGGCCTGCTATCCCGCGCACCCGAAGAGCCTCTCTGCCACAATCACAGTGCTCTTACCCAGCCGCGCGGTCCGTATAGCCCTCAGGTGCCCGTGAGGGCCTCCGTTCCCCGGGCCCGGAGAGGTTCCCTCCCGCCTTCCCCTCCAGTCCACCGGAATTCCCCTCCGCGGGGAGATGGTGGATGGGTGGGTGGAGACTGGCAGGAGAAGCCCGGAAGCACCCCTCTCAGGGCATCCGTCTGTCCGGGGGGGAGGCAGGAAGAGGAGGCAGCCAAGGGCACACAGAGAGGAACGGTGACCGTGACTGGCTGAGAGAGGGGGATTGGGAGAAGGCGGGTTGGGAGACAAACGAAGTGGTGGAAAGAGTGGCGGCGGCGGCAGCAGCAGCAGCAGGAGCATACAGTTATAGGGTTTGGCACTACTGGTAAGGCGCGACCATTGCCCCCGGGAGATCCCGGGATCGATACCCATTAGGGTCAAAGTCCTTCCGATGGTGGAAGGCAGTGCGCCCCTAGTTGATGGACGGTGGTGACCTGGGATAAAGTTAACCTGCGAGCCGACCAGGAACGGAGTTGGGCCGCTGTCGACCCGGCAGATTCCGTTAGATGCTGGTGGTGGGTGCGGAACCTAAGCGATCCACTGAGAAGTTGACTAGGGTGACTGGATGAGGGTGCCCCGAAATACCGGGGAAGGCAGGGTTTCGCAGGGTAGCTGCCACGGGCGAAGATACACCCCCCTGTTTCACACATCATACAGTTCTCTTTTTCTCTCTCTCTCACTCTCTCTCTTACTGTCTGTGTACGACGGGCTGCTGCTACTGCTCAAAACAGCTCACGCAAGAGGAAAAGACATGAACGCCGAATCAAATAAAAGATTAGGAGCCGGTGCTTAAGCTGAGTTGCCCTGCCGGTGCCGAGTCCTCCTCCCCACACTCATCTTACCTCTTTCCCCTCCCCCCTACCCCCTCCCCACTACCCCACCGTACCTGCGGGTGTCCTGCAGGGACCCGGTCCTGCGGGGGGGACCACCCACCACCACCGGGCCCACAAGAGGGCCACCACCACCACCACCACCACGTGTCGCGGTCAGGCTACGAGACAAGGGCACCGCCGTCGCTGCCCCTGCACCCAACCCGGGCTGCCCTGCGCCGTGCGCCATCTGCGGCAGCGCAGCCGCGGTCGCGGCCGCTGGCGCCGGCACCGCGCCGGGCGCTGCTGCTTGCCCCCCGGGGATCTGCCCCTCCTGCTCAGCGAGGTAGAGGGCGCTCATTACATCCTGCCAGTTGGCCACCCCGCCCGTCCGCTCGTCGCCCGCGAATACGGGGTTGTGGTACTGAGCGAACATAGAGGGGCGGTCCAGACCCGGTGGCGGCGGCGACGGCGCCGCCGCTTCCGCCGACGGTGCACGCCAGGAAAGGCCCCCTGACAGACGCACCGCCAGCGGCGGCGACGCCGGCGACGTCCGCGGTGGCGGCGACGGACTGCTGCCCGCGGCGGCGTCACGGGAGGTTTGGAGACCAGAAAAGCCGTACGCCTGGGCTCGCTGGTTACGACGGTGCAAGTACAGTACGCCAACGATGAGCAGCAGCAGTAGCAGGGCCCCTACGATGCTACCCACGATGACGCCAATCCACCAGGGTTTGAACCCGCTACTGCTGCCGCTGCCGCCGCTTCGGTCTGGACGCGGATTTTAGTAGGTGGTTAGGCGTTCGTTTCCGCCAACCAACGGGGGAGGGCGTAAACGCGTAAACGCGGAAAGGCGGAATGAAGATGTGCGGTCATTAGTTAATAGTTGTTAGTTGACAGTGGTTAGAAAATTATGGAAATGGTATGCGTGGCAAGACATGGTGGAGTCGGGTGCAGCTTCGGGATGAGGCCGTGCGCGGCGCCAGCTGTGAAGGCGATCTGAGGGAGGACACAGCGACTGACTCACACAGATACAACAGCTGAAAACCTCATGAAAACAAGTAAGGCCACAAGCATATACGTGCGTTAAGTGAATGTCGTACGTTTTCGTACGGCACAGTATGTACTGCAGCAAATCCCCTCACCTCGGACCCCTGATGTGCCGGTGTCGGGATTTGGAGCGCTGCTGCCTGGCGCCGGCGGAGGCCCATCTGTGGGTGTGACAACGACGCCTTGCGGCGGCGAGGGCGACAGCTGCGGCTTCGCCGTCATAGGCTGCAGCGGCGGCGATGGCTGCAGCGGCGGCGGCGGCAACGGCGGCGACGGCGGCGACGGCAACGGCGGCGACGGCGGCGACGGCAACGGCGGCGACGGCAACGGCGGCGGCGACGGCAACGGCGGCGGCGACGGCAACGGCGGCGGCGACGGCAACGGCGGCGACGGCGGGCAGGCTGGTAACGCGGGGAAGTTGGTCTGGTTCCTGGGCCACAGCGGGCCGCCGGGGTTGGCGCCACATACGTCGCTGCCGGACACATCCAGCTTGCTGAGCGCCGTCATGCCGTACACCCATGACGCCGGGATCACGCCCTGGATCCGATTGCCGCCAAGCTGCAGCTCCGTCAGCGACGCCAGCGCCGACCAGGCCGGCGGCAGCGACCCGGAAAGCTGGTTGTTCTGGAGCTGCAGTACAGCCAGGCCCCCGCCAGATTGCGTGTCCGCTGCCGTCGCCTGGAGCTGCCGTAGCCGCTGCAGCTGCCGCCGTTGTACGGCGGCTCGGTCCTCCAGCCCATCCCTCAACAAGGCGCCCAACCGTCGATGCGTGGCCGCGGCATCCGCCAGCGCCTCCTGTTCCTCTTGCTCCTTTCCTTCGAAAGCTTTGACAAAGCTGTGGCCGCTGGCGGCGGCATCGGCGGCGGCAACTGACCTGCGCTGCGGTACGGCCATCGCAGGGTCCGCGCCGCTACTGCCGTTTCTATTACCGTTTTTGCTGCCGGACAACGCCGACCATTCCGACGGTAGCGGACCCGTCAGGCTGTTGTCGGCCAGGTACAGCCCCGTTAGCGCCGTCAGCTGGCTCCAGGGCGGGGGCAGCGTGCCTGCCAGACCGCAACTCGTCAGGTCCAACGATACCAGGCCCAACATGTACGGCAAAGTGGCGGCGGGCAGCTCCGCTGCGCCTAGACTGTTGTACGACACATTCAGGACTCGAAGCGACGCCGCCGCTGCAGCAGCGGCGCCCACCGCCTCCTCCTCCTCCTCGTCCGGTTCGGGTGGCGGCCCTTCCAAGCCGGGCAGTCCACCCTCCAAGTTGTTCACCCCCAACAGCAGCTCCTGAAGAACGGGCATGCCGCCTCCGTCGCCGCCGCCGCCGCTGCGTAGCCAACCTGCGGGCACGCTGCCGGTGAGCTGGTTCTCCGACAGGTCCAGGAAGGTCAGCGCCGTCAGCACCGAGTACGATGGCGGCAGCGGCCCCGACAGCGCGTTTGACGCCAGGCTAAGACTCTCCAGGGAGCCCAGTGCCGACCACGTCTCAGGCAGGCCGCCGTCAAGCACATTACTTGATGCGTCCAGGGAGGCCAGGTGGCGGAGGGCGCTCCAGGAGGAGGGCAGGGGCCCCGCCAAGCGGCCGCAGCCGGAGACGTCCAGCTGGTGCAGCTCAGCCATGGCGCCCCAGGGCGCCGGCAGTTCGCCCTCAAGTTGGGGGTTGTGGGAGATGTTGAGCAGGACGAGCCTGGTGAGCGTGCTCCAAGCGTACGGCAAGGTGCCGGAGAGGTCATTGTACGACAGGTCGAGCACCTGGTGCATGAGCCCCGGGGAGGATCGTTCGGTGGAGGTGTGTGTGTGTGTGTTTTGGTAGGTGGGGGAAAGGGGAGCGTTATCTCATGGTAAGGAAAATTTTGCTTTGGGGGTTACGGGTAGCTCCCGGGTAGCTCCCGGGTAGCTCCCGGGTAGCTCCCGGGTAGCTCCCGGGTAGCTCCTGGGTAGCTCCCGGGTAGCTCCCGGGTAGCTCCCGGGTAGCTCCCGGGTAGCTCCCGGGTAGCTCCCGGGTAGCTCCCGGGTAGCGGTCGTGGAAGATCCACCCGGGACGGAGAGCGGTCGGCGAGGCGAGAAGAGCTGCGGACGCCGCAGAGTGGCGGCGGCGAGGAGGGCAACCCCCGGTTGCGGAGCCCGCGTCCGCTGTGTACCACACCACAAAACCCAAAAAAAAACTAAAACCGTCCGAAGCGCCTCCACTCTTCACCCTAAAGCCCAACTCCAACTCCATACACACACCCACACCCACTCAACACGCGTTAAGAGTCCAACATAGAACTAGGCCTTCGCACCCCGTAAGACCCCCAGACCCCCAGACAGACAGACAGACAGACAGACAGACAGACTCACATGCAGTTGCTGCAGCTCCGACCACTCCTCGGGCAGCTGCTCCGTCAGGCGGCTGTCCGCCAGCTGCACAATTCGTAGGGCCCTCAGCGCCGAGTAGGTGGCGGGCAGGGGCCCGCTGAGGGGGTTGCCGCTGAGCCGGATGGCGGTCAGGGAGGGCAGGATGTCGTACTGTGCAGGTAGGGCACCTGGGGGCGATTCGGGCAAAGAAGGTCGGGGCGGGTCCGGAAACGGAAGCCGCGGGCGGAGGGCGGTGCGAAATGCGGGTTTTAGGGTTGGTTTGATGATGTGGGCTTGCTGCTGCGTGTCGTTGATGTGGTAGTTGATGTGGTGGTTATTGGTATCTGACTGCGCTGGGCTGATGATTCCTGTCTGAGGTTGAAAGCCACCCATATTTGTGTGTGTGTGTGTATGTATACTGCACAGACTTTGGAAAAAGTGGGGATAGCAGCCCCCTCCTCACACCCCTAACTTTGACCCCTACTTGGGGCCCCCTCACTCGCCCATGGTTTCGGAAACTGCTTCTCCTTAGGGAACGCCTTTCCGTTGGGTCGGTGTCGAGACCTGTAGCTTCCCCCCACCGGGCCATTATCAGGGCCGGCCCGGTAATCTAACAAACATACATCCATGCATCCATACATACATCCATACTTCTACATATATGTATACGCATACGCATGTGACACGAGGCACGTGAGGTGTGACCAAGTCTCAGACCGGATCAGGCCGCCCGCAATCGGCCGCCTGGACTGCCTCCCCCCCTCGCCCCAGCCAGCCAGCCAGCCAGCCAGGCGGCCAGCCAGCTCACCCAATATCCACTTCCACCCCCCCACACACCCCAAAAACCCCTACCGCCCTTCACCCACCCCCCAGCCACCCAGTCACCCTCACCCCCAGCCACCCACCCCAGCCACCCACCCCAGTCACCCTCACCCCCAGCCACCCACCCCAGCCACCCACCCAGTCACCCTCACCCCCAGCCACCCGCCCTCACCGGTGAAGTTGCACCTCCGCAGATCCAGTTCCCTCAAGCTGCCCAATGCGCTGTAGTCAATCGGCAGGGGCCCCCCCAGCGCCGCATTACCAGCCGCCCTGAGCACCCCCAGGGAGCCCAGTGACGTCCACTGCGGCGGTAAGGAGCCGCGCAGCCGGTTCCCGGACACGTCCAACACCTCCAGCTGCGACAGAGATGACCAACTTGGCGACAGAGTACCTGACACGCCGTCATGTCCGGACAGCGACAGGAAGGTCAGGGAGGTCAGGGAGGACCAGGCAGCAGGCAGAATGCCGGTGAAGCCGCCGCTGCCGCTGCTGCTGCTGCCGCTGCTGGCGTTAGTGGTGCCGCTACTGCCGTAAAGCTGCTGCTGCTGCCGCTGTAGCTGCGCGGCGGTTGTGAGGTCGAGGTGGGCGAGGGAGACCAGGGCGCTGTACTGCACCGGCAACGTGCCGTTGAGGCCACCTGCAGAGCCTCGCAAGTCGAGTTTGGAAAGAGACTTGAGGACGGACCAGGGGCGGGGTAGGGTGCCCACAAGGCCCTCCTGGCCGGCCAGCCCCAGGTGTCGCAACGCCGTGAGCTCGCTCCACTGCGGCGGCAGCGGCCCACTCAGCGCTCCGACTCCGCCGCGACTACCGTTGCTGCTTTCCATGGCATTGTCCGAATCCGAACCCGAATCTGAATCTGAATAGGATCTGGAACTTATGTCCAGCAGCGTCAGGCGGTTGAGTTCGGACCAGGAGGGCGGCAAAGTGCCGCTGAGGGCTGTGCCGGATAAGTCCAGTTGGTTTAGGGCGGTGAGGGATGACCAGGAGTTGGGTAGAGGGCCCGTCAGGCCGGCGTTGTGGGAGATGTTGAGAAGCTGCCGCAGCCGCAGAGGGAAGAAGGGGGAAGAAGGGAGAAGAAGGGGGAACGGCTAAAATGAGGGGAATCCATGTGACCGGCGGATGGTGAAGTGCGGGATGGGGGGGGGAGAGGGATGGGAGGGGGTTCGGGAAGTAAGGGGGGAAGGGGAGGGGGGGGTTGCCCAGTGCAGCGAGCACAGGAAACAGGGAAATGGGAGAAAGGCTGCAGGGTAAGTTAGGGTAAGTAAGGGTACAGCGGTACAGCGGTACAGCGACAGGTGACCAAATTTTCCTTCAGCTGTTGAAAGCCCTAGCGAGGTGCACATGCAGGCCTACACTTCCGAATCCATCCGCAGTTCCCCCGGGGCCAGGGGCCAGGAGGCAAGAACTTTTCCGGTGGGGGCATCCCCGGTATGGTGTACGGTGTACGGCGCGGGTTTCCCTAACTTCCCCCCACACATACACAGGCCTTGGCTTCCCCCCTCCCTTTCCCCCTCTTGCCCCTGTCCCCTCCCTGCACTGCGAACCCAAGACCATCACCCCTACTTCCCGAGCTCACCGCCATTCGTGACCAGGTCGAGTAGGAGGTGGTCAGTGCGCCGCTCAGCCGGTTGTTCCCCAGCAGCAGCGCCGACAAGGAGGTGAGGCGGCTGTAGGAGGCTGGCAGAGTGCCTAGCTCGCCAGAGTGGGCAGGTTGGGGGGTGGGGTGGGGTGGGGAGAGGGTGGCGGTATGTGGAGTGAGGTAAGGGGGCGGCCAGGAGCGCTTGGCAAAGTGGGTGCGGTGGGTAGAGGAACGTATAACTGTCATAATTAATGTCGTATGGTGGCCTCATGCTCGTGTGGTCCGGTTCCCGATACTACAACCCAACCCGAGTTCGAGACACTCTAGGACAAGAAACGAGTATTAATTTGTAATAGAAAGTTGCACCAAAT